AAAAAAAAAAAAAAAGGTGTGGTGCAACCGTCCTTTTCAAACTCAGGGCCTGATCTTACCGCCTTCTGATGTTATGACTGCCTTTTACTGCGGCCATTTTTCCATTGCCCATTAGTGTTTTTTTTTGCCTTTACAGTTTGAAAGTGTGGTACTACCAAAAAAAAAAAGGATCCCAGCATTCCCATGAGAGCGCCGAAGGGTTTTTGGACATGTTCCCGCCGGCGGAAACGCTTCTGGTAGAGCCACAGTGGCTTGGTCAGGGCACATGAGACCTGGGGGCGCAGGAGCCCCAGCATATGCAGTTACCCCCCCAAAAAAAAAGAAAAAAAAAAAGAGGGAAGTATGTTTATGTCACATTGGAGTTTGAAATGGGCACGAAAAACAGGCCTTCGGCACCGGTGTCAGGGCCTCGTTCGAAAAGGCAGTTAAAACATGCCTTCGGCACCGGTGTCATTTTCTGGGTTCGAAAAGGCACCGGTAGCAGGGCCTGGTACCGGTACCAGGGCCTGAGTTTGAATCCGTCTCTCACTCTGCGCCAGATACAGAGGCTGGTACCAGTACCAGGGCCTGAGTTCGAATCCGGCTCTCATTCTGCGCCAGATACAGAGCCTGCTACCGGTCTTTTTTTTTTCCGGTTGGTCGCGAAGCGCGATTGCGTGATCAGGACGCCGTGATCGCGCACCGTGATCGTGTGATCGCCATGATCGCAACGCCGTGATCGCGATCGCCGCGCGCCTCGACCAACCGAAAAAACAAAAAAAAACAAAAACCTCTGGGCGATGGCCAATCTGGGCGATGGCCAATCTGGGTTGTGGCCGAGACATCTCGGCCATGGCCAATCTGGGGTGTGGCCGAGACATCTCGGCCGTGGCCAATCTGGGGTGTGGCCGAGACATCTCGGCCGTGGCCAATCTGGGGTGTGGCCGAGACATCTCGGCCATGGCCAATCTGGGGTGTGGCCGAGACATCTCGGCCGTGGCCAATCTGGGGTGTGGCCGAGACATCCCGGCCATGGCCAATCCGGGGTGTGGCCGAGACATCTCAGCCGTGCCCAATCTGGGGTGTGGCCCTTTTTTTTTTCCCCTTTGAGTCGTGTGTCTGTATCTGGCGCAGAATGAGAGCCGGATTCGAACTCAGGCCCTGGTACCAGTACCGGGCTCTGTATCTGGCGCAGAATGAGAGCCGGATTCGAACTCAGGCCCTGATACCGGTACCAGGCCCTGCTACCGGTGCCTTGTAGAACTCAGAAAATGACACCACTGCCGAACGCATGTTTTAGGGCCGTGACACCGGTGCCGAAGGCCTGTTTTTCGTGCCTTTTCGAACACAAACAGTTACACCAGAGCCGTTGTTTCAAAAAAGAAAAAGACCTGGGGGCGGGTAAAAAGGGGGGCATGGTGCGCTGGGTGAGTTCGAAAGGGGGAGGGGAAAGCCGGTTCCCGGGGATCACAAGCGCATGGAAAAGGGTATGCTTGATTGTTCTAGTGTTATCAGCCAGCCGCAGTGCGGCTGAAGAGGCCAATCCTCAGACCATCCAATGTTCTCAGACCATCCAAATTGCAATGTTCTCAGACCATCAAATGTTCTCAGGCAATGGAAGGGACACTGGACCCGATTTCCAGCAGGTTCAGGGTGTATCTCCAATGCTGATGTGTAGCGAAGGCCTGACCTGCCGGGCATCATCCCGGGCCCATTAAATTTACCTTTCTGCTCATTGGAAGTAGGCTAGGGTGTTGCTCAAACGCTGATGTGTAGCGAAGGTCTGTCTCAGCAGTTGGCAGAGATCAGAGTCTGAAGCGGAGGGGCACAATTGCGCTTGCCTTAAAGTTTGCTCGACTTCTTCTTCTGTGCACTGTACATACACAAATTCTTGTTGCTGGGAGCAATCTCCCTGTAGACAGTCTAATATAATAATATCTGCATAAAAGGTGAGTAGTCAAACAAGAGCTGTGCATCCCACTCGATGACCATTGACCAAGAGTTCTTCACAGCGAAAAAAAAAAGAACACGGCGTAGGGAGGAAACAAGGCTATGGCAATGACAAACACATCCCACATGTAACCAAAGCGAAAAGATACCGTGACAGTGGGGAAAAACAAATAAAAAAGGGGGCAAATACTTTCCTGTGGCGATAGTGTTTCGTATGGGCCAAAAAAACGCATCCCAACAGACTTGCCGACATGAGTTGTTTTCGCCTTTTGAAACTCAAAATCTAACGTGGCTGCGCTTCTTTCAAAAAGACAAGATACAGCGGGGAATATGTCTGGTTCAGTAAATTAATCTGCGGTACAGCTTTACGTACACCCCATTCACATGCACGCTTCCTGCAGTCACGATGCGGGAAGGGAGGCAACCTTCTGAAAGATGAGGGTTCTGTCCCGGGATGGGCTTGGCTTATGGGGAACCGCGAGTCAAACTGGCTTGAGTATGCAGACATTAGCCATCTCTGTCAGTGAGTCCAAGTCACCTAAGATGCCCAAACCACTCAGACTGACTCAGCAACTCTTCAAGGAAGTTCAAGCAAACAAGCACAACGGAAACCACAGGGTTTCCACCAGAAGTGATCGACGAAGCTACATGTGCTCACACACACACACACACACACACACACACACACACACACACACACACACACACCACAGTGAGCTTTTCCCTCATAGATCAAGGTAATGCAAAAAAGAAAAAGCAACTATTTCTCCTAGGGCATTACCGGCCATGGAATAGGGTGCAAAAACGATATGAAAGTTCGTTTTAGGGCCTACCACACTTTTTGGTCTGTTTGGGGGAAAACAAAAACGCAAAGGTTTTGTCGTGGGGGTGATCTCAGCCTAGTATCTCTAACTGACGGCCACCAGGAGTTAGTAGTTACCAGCTGGCGCCTACGTGGACGGTCCCTTGTTCCACGCAAAAAAGTAGGAATGATGTATGAAACTTCCAACATTACTCAACTTCAAGTTGACAGACGTACACAAAAAGTTGAGGATATTGCAGAACTCCACAAGCAAAGGGGAAGCAAGAAATACAGTGCACAGGCAGGTGTGCAAAAAATGCGGACCGACGTTCTTGGCATGTCGCCTTCTCCCTGTGAAAATTGGTTATGCAAACACCCATTGGATGGGAGTTTGAGAGAAGTTTGTAGCCTTTCTCATCTAGCAACCTCTTCGTCTAATCTTTTCTCCAGTCTCTTCCACTTGTCCACCTGACATTCCGTGACTCTAGCCTTTATCCTCAAGGCCTGTCACTTTCTCCCTGTGAAAATTGGTTATGGGAGTTTGAGGGACTTCAAGCCTGCAGTCTTTCTCGTCTAGCAACCTCTTCATCTAATCTTTTCTCCAGCAGCTGCACCCGCTCAGCTTGGATTCTCTCCTCTTTCAAGTGCTTTCTTGCAGTTCAGCTCAACATTTGCCACTTCCTGCTTAATCTTCTCCTCAAATTCCAGCCTGATTTGCACAATCCGGTTTTCGAGCTCTACACTGACAGGTGTTCTTAATGCGAAGACAGCTTCGTCACCCGTCGTGGTTGCTCCTGCAGAAGTCTGGGCGCTCTCTGTTGAAGGAGATTGCATTTGCTTCTGCGCTTCATTTTCCTGTTCTTCCCTTCCTATGTCCACCGCTACCACTTTGAACATCCCACGACCTCCAAGAACAAGCTTGTTACAAGTTCCACATGGAATCATGCTTGAAATGTCTGCGTATCCAAAAAAATAGGAAGCCACTTGCCGATAGCTTGTCTCGCTCCAAATTCGTATTTTACCTTCTTTTGCAACAGTAAAGATGTACGGCAAGCGTGGATGGAAAAAGGCTGACCTCGTGGGCGTATCGTGTGCTTCCCATTTTGCCATGCAAACTCCTTCCTTATAGTCCCAAACCTGGATCGTTTCTTTGTGGAATGCGATAAGCAGTGATTTCCCTACCCTGGGACAAAACCCCATGATGCGTGTGCAAAAAACAGGAGATAGAATACGATCCCAATCCACTGGCATTTTGTATTTCTTATCCGATTCCAGGGGACTAACCAGACTTATGAGGCCTCCCCTTCGACATGCACCGATATTCAAATCGCTGCCCTCAGCAACTTTCAGAGTACGAACGCCCTCAGCAACTTTCAGAGTACGAACGACAGACCTTTCTTCCAGGTTCCATACCTTGATGATGTCATCATCTGAGGCAGTTGCAAAGATCTGTGACTCTGTTGGATGAAATGCCACTGCGCGTATGGCTGTAGAATGACCTTGAAGCTTTATCTTCTCCCATTTTCGACCCCAGTAAAACAGAAAAACATCCTTGTTCGCAAAACCTGCCAATAAACAAGGCAAGCTGTGATGGACAGCAACTGCATGGGTGGTTGAAGCACATTCTGTCATTAGCGTCCTCACACACGTCAACTTCGAACCTTGTCATTCGTACACGCCGAAGCTGCTGGTTCTCTCCACCAGAATCCAGTCTTTCTACGGGATGAATAGAGCTCCATAAGCATCATCCACATCAGGGATTTTCAAGAAGGCAACCCGCGTTCCATCTTCATAGTTCCACACTTGAAGTGATCTCGGGGACGGTGTAAATAACACCCACGGCTCACAAGGATGCACATGGACCACTATGTGGCGCGCTTCCTTTAAATTAGAACCCCGCATAATGTCCGGCCACTTTCTCTCGAGCTCTGGCACCAGCCAAATTTCACTTTCTCCATTACCATCCTCCATCCCGACCTTCAAATCCCAGATACAGCTCACTTAGAGGGACCTCACTTTCTCTATTTTTGCAGACTTCTCTTCACTCTTCTTCCGCCTCTATGTCAACTAGCAATTTGCTAGTTTTACCATCCTATTAATCAAGGATGACGACCATGATATATGTTACCCAGAACCCACCACCTCTCACGTGTCCTAACAAAGTGGGATCTATGGTCCTCAGAACGAGTAGTATACTACTACCAATTTCTGTGAACCATTTATTTATTTCACGTCAAGGTGAAGAGGCTCCCCCCTCCCAGCATTTCTGTTTGCTCTGATGTATTTCTGCATACGGGATGCTGGACCCGTTTTCCAGCAGGTGACGCTCCCCACCAATAGATGGAGCCTCTCCCCGGGTGCTAGTGGTGTCTGCTCCTATCAGCATCACTAACACTGGCAGGGGCGTGTTTTCTGAAAAAAAAATAAAAAAATCTCACGAGAAATAGGGAGGAACAATTCTGCAATTCTGCCCCGCCTCGGATGTGAAGCTCTCATATCTCTGACTCCAAGAAAAAGGAAGGGCCTGGCTGGTGGAAAATTGCGACAGTCAAGAAAAATAAATAAAGAAAGGAAAAGCAGAGCCACAATCAGAAAAATCAAAGTGTGAGTCTAATACTATAAACTAGGCCACCAGAGCGGAGCGGCCATTTTATTGGACCATTTCTCTATTTATGTGCGTCACCTTGGGCAGGGGCCAGGATAATCTTCTCTGTATTGTTCCAATTTTAACGGATGCCATTGGACCAGTACCACTTGCCCGGGTGGGCCAAAAAAAAATCTTTCTTTTTTTTTAATTATATTTTTACGTTTTCTTTTGCAAAAATTGGCTGTGAGAAAAAAAAGCAACAGTGTTGGCTATTAGATGCCACTAGGTGTAGAGGGCATATGGGGTGTGCAGGGACTGGCCACAGTGCTCTGGAGAGGATGCACTGCTACATTTACCCGAATAGAGCCCCTGGTCATTATCCCTGTATCCAGACTGAAGTTGCACCAAATACAGTGATAATGACAGGGCTTTTATTCAGGTGAAGAAGGTAGCACAACCTGCTTTTCACTCTCACACCAAGTCGAACACTCCGGTGGTGGAAACCATGACTAAGCTGCGGAGAGGTGCAGATCAGTGGGCGACACCGGGCGTTCGCTGTCCTCTACAGAGCGTAGAGAGATCAACAGCAGCCTAGTCCACCAAGCATGTCCAATCATCACAGAGAATCAGCTGCTTCTTAACAAAAATCCTACATTGTCCTTGCCGTTTCTGTTCTATGTAAGGGACACTGGACACTCAAGTACGCTACAAAAAAAGAGCGGTGCAAATGGAAAAGAGGGAAGTGTTGAGGGAGTGAGTCTCAGATGAAAACAAAGAACAACCAAAAACGAGCGGCACACTTCCAAGTAGAATTATACGAACATTGTGGAGGAAACCCGTTGGTCATTGGCAAATAGAAACGGCCAAGCGGGCCACAAATGACAAGCTTAGTGTTTCAGGCCCCTTTTTCTTTTCCCCGTTTAACTTATGAGAATGGAACTGTGAAGCCAGAACTGCGTTTTCGTTAAAATTGAGTTTTTTTCCATTTCGCTATTTGTACTTGAGTGACCTGAWGAGGTCAYTTGGCTGAAGAGGTCATTTSGCSTGTCTGATAAGGGCCAATTTTTGGGATGAGTGATCATCCATGAGACTACCAACATGCACTTCGTGAAAAGTAGACATTTCGTGAAAACTGGACTCGGAGTCAGAAACTTCACGTTGAATTTCTAAAAAACTTGTTTTAAGGCTGTCACATTGGACATGAATTGGCCGTTGTCACAAACATTTGGGCATAAACCTATATTCTTGGTCAAGCAACGAGACAACTGAAACGCAAAAAAGCAAACAACGTGTTCTTGCCAATACATCCAAGTTACGAATTTGCTTTGCATAAGGAGAACTATTTTTTGGCAAGTCATATGCACAAGTCTGTGGCAAGTGAGATAATTATGCAACATGCTTATCGAAGCAAAAACAAATGAGCAAGCATTTCAATAATCAACGCAAAATAAAAACGAATTGTAAAAATAAATTTCAACTAGGGGGGGACCAGGAAAGGGGGAGCCCCTCCGCCGCTCCTCCCCCCTCTGCTGCTCCTCCCCCCTTCTCCACCCTCCTTTGCTCCTCCCCCTTCTCCACCCTCCTTTGCTCCTCCCCTCTCCTCCGTGGCGGATGGTGGAGCAGCGGAGGGGGGAAGAGCAGAGGAGTCAATCTATTGCTGTCTGGTTGAACTCGAGTTCCCCTCCGCTGTTCCCCCCTCCGCCGTGGTCGATTGATTGATTGATGGATTGATGGATTGATGATTGAATAAGTCGCGCCCAGCTGCCTTGGTGAGGCGATTCCACAATGGAATCAATTCTATTGTGGTATCGCCTCACCAAGGCGGCTGGGCGCGGCAGACTGTCCCGCGCGGGTGGCTCTGTGACGCGATTCCAAAATGGAATCAATTACGTAATCGATTCCATTTTGGAATTGCGTCACTGAGCCACTTGCACCGGCCAGTTCGCCACGCCGAGCCGCCTCGGTGAGGCGATTCCACAATGGAATCGATTACATTGTGGAATCGCCTTACCGAAGAGGCTGGGCGTGGCGTACTAGCCCGTGCAGGTGGCTCAGTGACGTGATTCCAAAATGAAATCAATTATGTAATAGATTCCATTTTGGAATCGCGTCACTGAGCCACTTCCACGGGCCAGTCCGCCACGCCCATCCGCCTCAGTGAGGCGATTCCACAATGGAATCGATTATGGAATCGATTACGTAATCGATTCCATTGTGGAATCACCTCACCGAGGCGGCTAGGCGCACCTTATTCAATCAATCAATCAATCAGTCAATCAATCAATCAATCAACCAACCAATCAATCAATCAC